GGGGGTGGGGGTTTGTCCAGAGATGGGGGCATCACCGAGGCTGGACTTAGGACGCTCTGCTGCTCCCTCAGCCAGCAGACTAGGGTTTGGTTGCTCCCATAGGTCTTTTGTGGCTCTGAACTGATCTGTGCTCCAGTAAAATCCAGATAGTTTTCCTTTCTTCTCCCAAAACATGTAATTCAATTCTGAAATAAAATCACGTGGCAGCTGCCCAGGGAAAGGGCAGTATTTCTTCATCTTTAGAAGAGAACACAGTCTTAAATTGTAGTCAGCAGTCCTTAATAACTTCTAAGGTAATGTTCTGACATGGGTGGGAACCCAGCAGTGAAGACACATGGTGAGTAGAGGAAGGATTTATGGAGGCATTAAACCTCATTAAGACATCCCTTTGTCCAGGTCTCCTATGTCTTACGCTTCTGGCATCCTGCCCCAAATCCTGGGCTGGTCTTGAAACCTTTAAGGGATTTAGCTCCATCCTTTCCCAGAGGTCTGTCCTGAGTGTGCTCCTGGTCACAGTTCATCACACAGACGACACCTGCTTGTCAAAAAAAGACACATGCAGGATTTACAAAGAGCTCTGAAAATATGTTTCTATTTCTAGCAACACAGAGCTAAACATAATAACAAAAAACTCTACCTGCTTCTGTGTCCTCACTACTCTGGACCATTGTTTGGATTTGGGAGAGACAAGGTTTGCAGGAAGAATTAATATCTTTTATTAGAACATACAATATTGTTGGAGGTGGGAAAAAAGAATGAATTTTAGGCACACAAACCCTCTCTGAGCTCTTTTTTTCTTCTTTTTTTTTTTTTTCTTTTTTTTATCATTCAGTAGTATCAGTTGGTTTAATCAAAGATTAATATCTCTTCCTATGAAACTTGCCTCTCACATCCTTAGACCATCAGAACAAAAACAACATTTCTGCTTCGACTTTGGCCTTAGGTCAATGTTCTTTAAAAAGTCTAGGATCCCTCTGGCAGTTGCTTGCTCTTCTGAAGCATGAAGGTTTACTGTGTAAACATTTTCTTTCTTCTCT